AAGTTGAAATGAGATATAACTTTTGGTTAGAATTAAAATTATAAACTAAACTCTAGGATATGCAGAAGAAATTAAGGGTTCTTATGTACAACAGAACAATTCAGAGATTTTTGCTGGTAAAATTGAAGGTATTTATTTGTACTTACTCGCACTTACTTATTTATTCACTTACTTGTCCCTAATGGGTGTTTGTAGTGTTTATAAGCAAAGCTTTAATTGTAAATGTTCTTGACTGCTCTGATTAATCTTGTTAGGAGATAAGCAGTAACCTTACTGGATGCTTTTCTAGGCATCAATTACTATCATCAGTCATGTACAGCTACTTTGGCTATTATGTCATTATATTTGGTTCTGAGCCTGGAGTGGAGTTGAGAGTATGACATTCAGCAAGAACTGAATAGCTCTGAGCTGATGGGGGCTACTTTAATGGACTTTTGACATATTACTGAGTTCTGTTTGAACTCTTGGAGTGGTTTAATTCGTGTTGATTTTGTAAGTTAGGGATGGTTTGATCAGTTACTGCTCTAATGCGGTTAATGTTTTCAGAATAACTGCAGCGAAAAGCCATTGTCTTCCAGCTCTACCGTGGATGATGTATATGTCGGTAACTTTCTTTTCATTGACTCAGCAGTGAACAGAGGGAAATTATGTTTCTCAAATACAGAGAGAGAGTGTGTGTGTAGGAGGGTGGGGAGGATACCAATGTGTGATGGCAAATAAATCTCTTCTGAGAAGGCCGATATGAGGGATTCCAAAGGGACTTTAGGTCCTCTTCAGGGATTGACGTAGTGTCTGTAAAGCAGGGGTGCACCAATTCAAGTAATTGACCATGACGGCTGAAACCAGGACTGCAAATCACAGATGAAAATGTCCAAGAAAGGAGCAGTGATCCATCCATGTTAGGAGCCTAGACAGACAACTTCAGGTGGTTGAAAAGTGCAGGACGCCTGACAAGGTCTTAAGGAATTGGAGTTCGAAAAAGAGGCGATATTATTACCTCCCAAAGGAGAAAATTGTTCTTCAGTTGCTCATTTGTATGCAAGATGAGAAAAATGGAGACTCTACTGCCATTTTTCTCACCTTGCATATACATGAGTAACTGAAGGACAAATTGGTCGATCAAAGACTCAAATGGAAAGTGTAACATAAATGCCATCTGGTCCTGTCTTTCTCCTGTGTGTTCTGCTGTCAGATGACATTTTTCTGCCTGCACACATGGAGACGTCTAGAAGTGAAAGCAAAGTTGAATTGTAATCAAATTAGAGCTGTAAAGTTGCTTATCTTGACAGGAGCCAAAGAGGATGACAGGATACTTTAGAAAGCCATTGAAATTTTCTAAGGAGACCAGCTGATTTTGAGTGTAGCTAGACATAGAGGAGGTATTAAACCAACAGCTCCATACTGTGAGCTCTAGGACCAAACCAATCAGTACTGATTGATACATTCACAGAAATGTGAGGAACACTGTGGCAGTATCAAGGTCCTGCAGATAAGGGACCTACTCTGAGACACTGATAGTCTAAATGGAGAGCTGAAGCACACAAATATGAAAGAAAGCTTAGGGGCTCATGCTGAAATATAAGCATCCTGCTTAAAAGGAGTAATGACACTTCACATTTTGGGACAGAAGGAAGAGGTCTTTCAGATCATTTTGGCTATTAAAAGAGTCAGCATTGTTGAGCGGAAGCTTCTTAAAAACTGGGAAGCCATGTCTGGGGAGCCAAGAATATCCACAGTGACCTAAAAAAGACTAAAATACTCTTCTCCAACAACACATCTGTGTGGAGCTGTATTTTCTTCATATACTTCAACCCAAACAATGTATCATAACAGATTGAAAACAGAAGCAAATATGAGAATCTGTCTTCTGTTAATCCACCCACTACAGAGATTTGCAAAACTATCAAACAATGCCGCCTTTCTATTTTTTAGAAAATACGGTTATTTTCCATAAAATATGCTAATATGTAATGAGTTTACTCTTACATCTAAATTGATAAATACATGTTTAAAATTGTTGTGTTTCATTTTCTAATGTGTTAAGTACAGATAAGATATAACCCATGTACACAAAAGCTCTTTGGGGGTCCAATAATTTTTAAGAATATAAAGGAGTCCTGAGCCCCAAAAGTTTGAGAACCAATGTACTGGAGAAAAGTTACTTACTAAACAGAAAGGGGTGAATCCAGAATCTTGTCAAGAGAAGTAGAAGGGGTGGTTTTCAGAGAAGGAAAACAGAGAAAGATATGTAAAGCAGAAAGATTGCTGTGATGGGAAATGAAAAGCCACTTTGGCCTGGAGATGGATCCTGCCTATTTTCTGTCTGTGGCATCTTGCAAGGTCAGTGTTTGCAAGAATTCTGTAACTTGAGCCCACATGTGTGCCCAGCTTCCATGTGATAGAAGTAAGCTGTTGTGAGTTGATCGGTGGATTGTGAGCCCAGTTCAGTCCAGTAAGTTGATTAGAATGGGAAAGTATGTGGTGAAATGAATCTTTAGGACTATAGACTTTCTAGTATGTAACTGATTTTACCACCTGCTTTATTTCCTATAACTCTCACATCAGATCTAGAAAAAAGTTCTACCTGACTCTATCCTATGCAATTTACAGCATTATATTGAAGTTCAAATGTATATTCTTCCCTTTTAAAAGAAATGCATTTTGCATTATGGAATAGGAAAGGTGCTCAACTTTGCTTTTGATTTCAGAACTGTTTCTACATGCTCTTCTTTTTATCAAGTTTGCTTTTCTGTCCACAGTAAGGAACTCTGTGGTCTGTATAGCAATATGAAATCATTAGTAAATACAGCGTAGATTGTCCTGAGGGGTGTGACTGGCTTGTTGTGCTGATTAGAGGTGGATTTGCTGTGAAGCTAATGACACCTGCACTTCAAGGCCCCTCACTTGCATTTGCCCCTTTTGTATGTGTAATGTTGCATTTATATATATTTTTTAAAGAAGGCTCTCCACCCCTCCAAATTGTATAAGATTCAGGCTTCACAAAACCTAGTTCTGAGGGGTTTTATATGAGTGTCTAGGGGTCTAGGAGTTAGCTCTAAAGTCAGTGTTTGATGACTAGAGCAAGGTACCTTATGAGGAAGGGTCTTTAGCTATAAAACTTGAAAAAATTCACTGCATTGCTTTCAGAGCATTTATTCAGTTATTAGCTCAATCTGTAGTAATACTTAACCAATTTAAGATAATTTAGAGGCCCTTTTTTTTTTTTTGCAGTCCAGAGGTCTTTTATTGCTCTACACCTATCAAGCCATGAATTCCTAGGGAAGGGTTCCAGCAGCTCAGGCTCCTTTCCATTTGTTTGCACAAAGCGTGCTTCTCGGGGGGGACAGGCCGGCACTTGAGTTGGACCCAAGTACCTTTCTCTTTGGCTTCCTCTTTTTCTGATCATTTTCCTTCACATGTCTCAGGAAACCATCTTGCTTCTTAGAATACGCTCACTGCATACATTTAATCTCCTGGTAAGGACCTTGCCCTTGTTTGTTTACAACAATGCCAGCCGTATGCCGGGTGACATGTAGTCTCTTCCAGTTTTGCCATGGTCACATTTGGGGGCACTCCTTTGGAGCAGTGCCCACCCCTTGATGTCTACTATCCCACCTTCCTGTAGATACCCGTGTATGTGGCCAAAGGAGCAGCTACTTGTTTCCTAAAAGGTCTAGAGAACATACAGTGGTGCCTCTCCTCTTTCCCTTTGTGTTGGTCACTTTGGTGAATTACTGGAAGGTGGAGGTTCCAGCCGAAGGGCAGAAGACAACATTTTAATCTGTCTACTATGCAGTATGTGTATTCTTAGCACCAAGAAAGAGTTCTCCTTTTCTGTGTGAAAAAGCCATTCTCACTGGGCTCCTCTGTAAGTGAAGCCTTTGAAGCTGAGTCAGCAGTACTTTACAGACCCTCAGACCCTTTTCTTTCTGAGGGAACTTCATCGTTTTTTAAGAAGCATTTTACCAACTCTTAGTCTTCTTTTCTTTATGGACTTTTGGTCTTTTTCTCCAGAGAGTCTTCTACTCTTTGCCCTCCCAATAATGACCATGTAATGGTAGGAGCAGCAGCTCAGCCCTGTGCTAACTGCTCGGCAGCTCTTGTCTCTGAGGATGAGCCTCAGCTGTCCCTATTTTGGGGCGAAGAAGCAGTGCTGAGAGAAGTTAAGTAACTTGCTAAAGGTCACACAGTGTAGAAAGTGTTAGAGCTGAGAATCAAACCTTGGTGTTTGATGGCAACATCTTTACTTGCTTCATCTTACTGCTGTCAGCCAGTATCTTGGAATGAGAATTTGAAAAAAATGCTGACACAAAGTACTAATATCATAGGGCTTATTTTTTTTAGACAGTATAAAATTTTATTTTTTAAACTAGGTGCTGGTACACAGGCACGGTTGTTCTCTGTACATATTTTTTGAACATTCTTTTTACAACTACAAAATATTTTAAGATTGCAGAGAAACATATTTTTTATTAATGCAATTCTAGCAATATAAAAGGCAAAGCAAAAAAACCCCATAGATGTTACCACTTAGAAGTATACATTAAATGATAATCATGCCACAGTGTTCTTTATGTTTATATACAGAAAGGATAGATGGACAAAAAAACTATTAGGACTGTTTTAGTTGCTTATGTGCATAACAAACTGCCTCCAAACTTAGTGGCTTATAATGACAAAAAACAGTTGTTTATTCAGGCCTCTAGAAGCTCTTTGATGTTGGTAAAAGATTTGCTACCCCAGCCAGCATCAGAACTGTCCCCAAACATGGCAGAGTCTTTTAGTCATCCAATCTGCTACTCTAGGTCAGCCACCCAGCTGTTGCCTCATATACATCAGTAAATATGGTCAGTACTGTCTCGTTCCTTTGTAAGAATGTGTAGTCCCGTGTGCCTGGCACATGTAGGCACTTTGAGGACTCATGAGCAAATGAAGTAAAGTGGTGGAGCCTTTTATGGACCTGGATGCTTAATACCGATTTCTCTTGTTGCCCTGTTTAGGTATTTGGCTAGAGTAGGGGAGCTTGAAGCTACGGACACTGAAGACCCAAATCTAAATTACGGCCTTGTTGTGGACTGTGGCAGCAGTGGCTCCCGGATTTTTGTTTACTTCTGGCCAAGACATAATGGGAACCCCCATGATTTGCTGGACATCAAACAGATGAGAGACCGCAGCAGCCAACCAGTGGTTAAAAAAATCAAGCCAGGTACTAATCGGAATATATATCATTGTCATTCTCTTTTATCTGCTACAGGGAAGGGAAGGGGAAGGGGACAGGACGGGAGGGGGAGAAAGCAAGCTACCCTTTCTTCTTGAGGTTCTGGATAATGGGAGGAATGTCTCCTTCAGTGTCACCTCCCCTCCTCTCAAAGTGTTTAGGACCTTAACAGAACCTTATGGCGTATCAGTCTTCTGAGTCAATGTAATCTTTTTTTTTTTTGAGAGGGCATCTCTCATATTTATTGATCATATGGTTGTTAACAATAAAATTCTGTATAGGGGACTCAATGCACAATTATTAATCAACCCCAAGCCTAATTCTCAACAGTCTCCAATCTTCTGAAGCATACTGAACAAGTTCTTACATGGTGAACAAGTTATTACATAGTGAATAAGTTCTTACATGGTGAACAGTGCAAGGGCAGTCATCACAGAAACTTTTGGTTTTGATCACGCATCATGAACTATAAACAATCAGGTCAATTATGATTATTTGTTTGATTTTTATACTTGATTTATATGTGAATCCCACATTTCT